TCCCTGTGCTGTACTTTACATCTCCATAACTATTTTTATAACTGGTAATTTGTACTTCTTACTCCCTTTCACCTTTATTCATCCATTACCTAAACTCCCTCCCATCTGTCAACCATGAGTTTACTCTCTGTATCTATGAGTTTGTTTTGTTTGTTCATTTATTTCGTTTTTTAGATTCTACATATAAGTGAAATTACATGGGACTTATCTTTTTCTGACTTATTTACTTGGCATAATATCCTCTAGGTCCATCATGTCACGAATGGCAAGATTTCATTCTTTTTTGTGGCTGAGTAATATTCCATCATGTGTATGTATCACATCTTCTATATCCGTTTGTCTATCATTGATTGCTTCCATATCTTGGCTATTGTAAATAATGTCTCAATGAACATAGGGGTGCATATATTTCTGAATTAGTGTTTTCAGTTTCTTCAGATAAATACCCAGAAGTCAAATTGTTGGATCATAAGGTAGTTCTTTTTCAAATGTTTAAGGAACCTCCATACTGCTTTCTATAGTGGCTGCACCAATTTACATTCCTACCAACAATGTATGAGGGTTCCCTGTTCTCCACATCCTTGACAACACTTGTTGTTTGTTGATTTATTAATGATAATCATTCTGACAGGTGTGAGTGATATCTCATTGTGGTTTTTATTTGCATTTCTCTGATGATTAGTGATGTTGAGCATCTTTTCAGACCCTGTGTATTTTAAAGTAAACACAATAATGGACACGTCTCTCTTCCTATCTTCTCCTAGTCACTATCTACCATCAAGAGTAATCATTATTCAGATTTTTACCACCACAAATGAGTTTTGCCTACTTTTGAACTTTATATAATAGGAAACACACTCTTTTGTCCTGCTTTTTTTGCTTAATATTATGTCTGTAAAAATCATGTAGCAATAGTTTGTTCATCCTCATTGCTTTATAATATTTCATTGTATGAATGTACCATAATTTATCCATTTTACTGCTGAGAAACATTGAGTTCTTTTCAGTTTTGGGCCATAATGAATAATGTTCCTGGGTAACATTTGTAAGTTTCTTCAGAGTTTAAATCCAGAAATGGAACCTGGGTTCTAGAGTATGCAGGGTACATTCAGCTTTACTAATTAATGTCAAACTGTTTTCTAAGAGATTATCCCCATTTACACTCCTATCTGTAATATATGAAAGGTCCTGTTGTCCCACATCCTTGCCAAAGGGACCAAAGAGCCTTTTCAGTGTTGCACAACCATGGGACCGAGCAGGGCCAGACACACCCTCACAGTGCAAACCCTTTGGTTGGTGGTCAGAAGCTCATGCCACAGTTCCTTCTGTTTACTTGCTCCCTCCAAGTAAGGGTAGAGGATTCAGATTATCCCTAGGTCCCTGATCACATGCTCTGTTACCCTGGGAAAATGGCCCAGGATGGGGTGGGTGGTGAATTTAATAGCACAATCATTCCTGAATCAAGCAAGCAAGCATCCATCAGATATTTTGTTCTTGTACTGAACGCTAGTAGGAAATGGAGGAGGGACACACAGAAATGAGAAGTTTATCTTTAGTGTGCCTACTGTGTCCAAGCTTTGTGTTAGAAACTTTACACTTTGATTATAACATTTAATCTAAAACAATATTACAAGGTAAATATTATATCTCAGTTTCATAGATAAGGAAATGGAGGCTTAGAAAGGGGGTCATTTGCTTCCGATCACAGAGGTAATTGGTGACAGAGTCAGGATTTAAAGCATGGTTTATCTGATTAAAGAGTCCAAGCTCTTTACAATCCAGAACACAGAGAAAGCAAAGATCCTGCTGCTCTTGAGGAATCGTGGGCTTTGATTGCCAATACCAAGGCTCAGGTCTCAGTTCTGCTTGCCAGTCAGTATTCACCCCCAAAACTATGCTAGTCAAGGGCCGGCCTAGTGGCTCAATTGGTTAAGAGCTTGGTCAAGAGTGCGAGCTCTGAGCAACAGGGTTGTTGGTTTGATTCACTGCCCAAGGAGCTGCCAACAGGTGGCAGGATGGCTCAGCTAAAAAAAAACCAAAAAAAAAAACTATGCTAGTCAAGTGATTATGGCCATCTCATCCACTGATTTAAAGTACATTTTATTTTCACTTGTTTTTGGTTTCCTTTATTCTTCTTTCTTCCTTTTTGTTTTCACTAAGAAAATTGGACCTGAAACTAATAAAAAAAATAATGATAATAAAAGAAAATTTCGGCACATCAGTACAGCAGGTCCACTGATAAACAAGACTTGTGTTGGGGAAGATAGCTTTCTGTCTGCTAGTCTAATATGTTAGCCAACAGTGAGATTAAAAGAAGACAGGGACATTGTGAAATCTTCCTGTGATATAGGAAAACTTGAGAACTAATGGAATGAAAAGGATAAAAGGAAGTTGAGATGGTTCAGTTTTCCTTGAAAAAGTAAAGGCTCTGTAAAAATTACTCATGTTGTATTTTATTATATATCGTGTTTCATATATAATAATAACAATGGAGAGTGAAGGAATTTGTTTGGGGTAGATAGGTGGAGGTCTAAGCATGTAGCAGAAAAAAACTGAGTCTGAAATAGGAGTAATGAAGACACTGGAGAAGGCTGAAGAAAAGGTGAGGACAGGAGCAGGAAGTGAACTCAGCAGGAGCGATTTCATGGGTTTGCAGAAGAGGGAGGTGATGAGAAACTTGTAAAGCTGATCAACGTAAAATGTCAAAGTCCCAGGACTGGGCAGGACCTAAACGAGTCATCTTGTTCATGTTTCTGCCTTTAGAGAAAAGGGCCTTTTAAATTTTCTCTAGGTATTCAGCTGTGAGTGTGTTTGACTTAGGAAGAGATTTAAAAACAAAAGATATCGGAAGTGTTGTGGAAGCAGCAGCTAAGATTTGGTGACTGCCAAATACAGATAGTATAGATAGGGACTGGAAGTGTTCCGTATTGGATAATGAGGGAGGGAGAGCTGAAAAGCCTTGTGAAACCCCAAGTGTCCATGTGAAAACGAAGTGGGTCTCCACTATGGACCCTGCGCTCCCTTGTGCAATCCTACCTTTTATCATCAAGACCAGACTTATAAAGTGGCCTACCGAGGATATTTTCTGACCTTATGGTGTGTAGTTCCCAGGCTCTTTACTCTGGACAAACTTGCACGGTTGATCAGAGGAAAGGAACATAGTGTTCAGTTAAAGGCCTTTGTGTCTTCCTTTTCTCTATCTCATGACTGGAGCCACAATTCTGGTCAAGGCGCTGAACTTGCTTGATGAAGTCTGTCCATCTGTAAAGCAGCTACGTATCCTCCTGGAGGCTTTGCCTCCCAGCGGTGACATGAAGATGGAATAAGCAGCCATTTGGAGCAGTGTGGCCTCTCAGGTACAGAGCTAAATTTTATTTCAGTCAATAAAGCACTGATTAATAGCGATTCCTAGCCCTACCCTAAGAGCTATAGAGGAGAGTACAAAACTATAAGAAATGCTCTCTGCCTTTAAGATTATTAAAATTTAGCTGGAGAGCTAAAACCAACATATACACAAAAATGTAGAGCCTAATAAGTACTAAACTGTGTGGTGGTGACCAGATTGCTATAGGAATTCAGAGGAGACATAAAGCAGTAGAAGTTTGAGAAGTAAAGAAATATTCTTAGAGAAAAGGGGACTTCCAAGGACTAGAAAGATTCAGAAAATTAAGAGGGAAGAAGGATGTTTGCCAGCATAAGCGAAGGTAAGAATAAGCATGGCAAGAGCTAGAAGCCACATTGGGTTATATATTGGGGACCAGTAGGAAATAACATTCCAATATTTCCTCTATCCTCTATCTTAAAGGTTGATCTCTGATCTTGCTACTTAAGGAGTTTGGAACCATGACAGCCACCAGGACAAGGGCTCTTCATAGTTCCATTTCCTATTTAGGCACTTTCTTTCTTCCCGTGGTTCAACTCTTGTTGTCTGACCTGCTAACGTTTTCTTTTTTTCTTTTTTGTTTTTTAAGATTTTATTGGGAAATTGGGGGAGGGGAACAGCGTTGGGGAATCAGGGGAAGGGGAACAGACAAGTTGCTGTCCTTTTGTTCTTCAGTCTAGTTGTGGAGGACGTTGCTTCACTGGCCCATGTTGGTATNTGTATAAGGTCATTGCTTGCAGCATTGTTTGTCTTTGCAAAAGATTGGAAATAACCAAAATATTCATCAATAAGGAACTGGTGGAATAAATTATAGAACAGCCATAAAATGTAATACTGTACCAACTGTAAAAGGAAAGAGACAAATTTTTATATGTATTGATATGGAACAACCTATAAGATGCATTGTTAAGTGGAAAAAAGCAAGGTATAGAATAATGCATATGGTATGCTACCATTTATATTTTCAAAATATGTATATCCATGTTTAGAGTATTTCTGGAAGGAAAATCAGTAAGTTGTTAATACCCTGTTTTCCCAAAAATAAGACCTAGCCAGAAAATAAGCCCTCGCATGATTTTAGGTGCCAAAGTATGGCACCTTGGCATACTGAATATTTTAAACTGAAGGAGTTTGTGGGAAAGGCACCCTTCTCCCTTAAACAGGTCATAAAACCCTCCTGTGAGGGGTGCGTGCCCTCCATATCCTGGAGGAATCATGCTAGGGCTTCGTCTCCAGCTAGGGCTTATTTTCGGGGAAACACAGTAGTGGTTTTCTCAGGGATAGAGAACTGGAGGATTGAGACAGTGGAGTAGGAAGGAGATTCAGTTTTCTCTGTAAATCTGTGCTGTTGGAATATTTTCCCAGGTAAAGTAAATCAAATTCAAATGACCATTGTCAAAAGAAGACCCATTAGAAATGGAGATCATATGAAAATTGCAGCATGTCAGGGCTTGAAGAGCCCTTGGTGATTAGAAAACTGAGCCTCCGAGAGGACGAAGATTTGCCCCAGGAGAGGATAACCCATTTCCTTGAGGGTATGGCTGCCACTAAGCTCTACCTGTGCTCAGGGATGGTAACTAAAAGTCATGTGTACTTTCATCCCATTTACCAGTCTCACCTTTGCCTCTTAGAAGGGCTCCAGTCTGAAACTTGGATGTGGGGTTTAGGTGACAGCTTGGGAAGGCAGTGCTGTTTCTGTGGGGAGCAGCAATGACTCTCAGGTTCTTCAGAGTATGCTTGACCTTTGGCCTTTTCTCCGAATGTGCAAGGCTGACTTTCACTTTGCTCCCAGAGCCAAGGCACTGCAGGGTAGCCACAGTTAGATTTTGGATGAAAGTAGCCCTTTTGGCTTCTGCCTGAGCTGGAAGGAGAAAAGCCAGAGGAAATAAAGGAAGCTGGTTCTTAATCTGAATGGCTAAACCCCTTCCATTCATGACTCCTGTTAAAACTCCACTGCTGTACTTCTCATTTTAGTTAACTTCTTCCTCAGCATGTGCTTAATAGTATTAAATATACAAGCCCTGCCTTTCTTCCTTCCTGCCATGGGTCCCATGAAGATCAGTGGCTGCACTAAATTCAGCCCAGAGAAATGCTCATAGATTGTTTTCTCTAAGGCAGAGAGGGTAGAGTCCTCTTTCTTCATCCCAGTCTGCTTGATTTATATAACCATGCCTTAGGTAATACCAGTTAATTAAAAAATTGGTTTCCAGAAAGCCTCTGGGGGTGGGGGAGCAGGGCAAGAGACACACGTATCTTTAAAATAGGTTATTTGAGAATTTGAGATCTAGGCAAGGAATGGGGGAAACAGGCATCTTTTAAAAGTAAACATTCTCTGGAATGGCAAAGTGATTTTTCAGGAAGGGGGCCCATCCCTACCTGGCATTAGCACATCCCTGGTACTTCTCACACCCTTTGGGATGAGCCCAGGCAGCTGTTCCACTTGGCAGCTGCTATCTCTGAGTTCTGGGGGGAAAAAAAAAAGATCAGGATTTACTGGGTATTTACTCTTTAGAATTCTAGGCACTGGAGGGAGATACAAAAGAATGCAGTTCCTTCTTATAAAACTTTGATTGGGAAGATAAAAACTGCCCACCCCCAACATGTAAAAATATATACAAGTAGGAGTTAGAGTAGTGTAAAGAAAACTGAGTACCAACCTATTATCCTTAGGAAAAAGCAAAGGTGAAATAGAGTTAAGAGAAGTTAAAGCATGACTAACCAACCCATTCCTTCAAACACTGATTATTATCACCTCTTCTCCTTCTTGTTCTATCTGCCTTCTTGTTTTAAACTTTTGAAAGTTTATTAAATGTAACCTTGGACAAGGTATCTCCAGGTTTCTATGGAACCATAGGTCATAGTTATTTACGCTTTTGGCACATAACTCACAGGGTGTTTTGAGTTTTCTTCATTTGTTAAATTTGTTACTACTGTGCCTTATGCTGTTTGGCCTTAACTCTGGTGAGCTAATTTTAGAGATGAAGTGTTTAGGACACACTGGAAAATCATGTTTTAAATAAACAGTTATCAAAGAGCAGAAAATGGTGCCATTTCACCCCCATACCTCCTTTCCCTTAGCTCTCCTCACCTAAGAGCATCCCCATGGATTTGGATGTAACATCTTAAAAAAAAGAAGACAACATCTTATGAGAGGCTATAAATTTGGGGAGCTAGGTGATGATAATAGTGAGACTGAGACAATACTCTACAGGAAAGAAACCCATCTAATAGTGAAAGGACTTTTAATGTTAGTTACATGAACAAGACTAAAGGATGCATCACATTTTCTTCTCACCATGAAACAAACAGCTATCTCTCTGGGTTGAATAAATTTTAGTCCTGCTTAGAGGCTATATCTTTATCTGTTGGAATAGAGCCCCAAACACTTACTAGGCCTCTCTTTGGATTTTCCAGGATATTAGGATATTTTCCAGTCTAGAGACATACTTACCTTTCTTGTTGGCATCATAGGATGTAATGATCAGGCTGAAAACCAAGATGATATCCATGTCAGCTTGAGCACATGCTCCTTGCCGAGGCAGTATGCTGCTAAACCGTCACAATCCCTTACAGCTTGTCTTTCAGTGTTTTCACTGCTCTGGAACCAAGTTTGACCCTGGGAGAGTCTGGCTCCACCCTTAATAATTTTGCCCCATTTGCTGAAGACCCAGGAATAGTGTTGATTGGAGAGAGGACCAAGTCTGCTTGTTAATGGTTGACTCAGAAGGTCTTTCCTGACTTCACTGCTGGTGCCAACATAAGGAACTGTAATTACCTAGAGGTTTCCCTAGGAGAAAGGGCATAAACGCCCAGTGATATGCTTTATAAGTACTTGCAGATAGACACGTAGACATTCACAAGCATGTCCACTGACACAGGCACATAGATTTATACACCAACATAAAGAGATACGGAGACTAAGGAAAGTGATTTCTAGAACAGAACAGGAAACTGGGACTTGAGTGAGTCAGTGTTACACTGGAGAGAGCGCTGGGCTAGGAACCAATAGAACTGGGTTCTAATATAGGACATTATTAACTATATCGTCTTGAGAAAGTTGCTTGATTTCTCCACATCTCAGTTTTCTCCTCTGTAAATGTTCCAACCAAATGATCTCTAGAATTCATTCACAGTTCCACACATAAACTTACATCAGCACAGGCATACCTATCTAGTCTTGTACATTTTCACACTCCTGAATAGTGAAGGGCTGAGAGGTTGTGAGGAGCTAAACATCCTAGATGAGTGATACTGTCTGCATTTTGGGAAGATTTTCCTGGACAGAAAATTGTTGTTGAAGGTTTTCTCTTTCCTTCCTTCCTTCCTTCCTTCCTTCCTTCCTTCCTTCCTTCCTTCCTTCCTTCCTTCCCTCCTTCCTTCCCTCCTTCTCTCT